GAGATGGCAGAGCAGCAGGCGATGAAGCAGAAAAAGATAGCGAGGAATTTCATGGTGTCAACACTAAATCCACGAACGTAAAGTAACTAGTAAAACATCATTGTGCCTTATATACCTACCCGTCGAAAATCTTCGATGGGAGCACTTGAGATTAACTTACCGAAAATCTGGATATCTTTGCACCCACTTCAAACCATAGATTACCAAGTCTCGTTAGATACAAACTCGCGATTGTTGCGAACCGAATATGTCTACGTCTGGTTCTAGTCTTCCATCTTGCTCCCTTTTTTACTGCCTCTCCAGTTTCTTCCACTTATTCGACATTTTTCCTAAAATTCATGGTATATTTTATGGATATCGGATTTTCTGCTGCATCGACATTTGACCCATTCTATCCTTCTCCACTTCGCAGCGGTTTCCAGCCAGTCCAATATTTGGTTTCCAGTTTCCATTTTCCAGTTCCAGCAACATTGACCTGATTGCTTCTTTTAAGTTGCACTCTTTGGTTGGTTTTCTTTCTCTTTTCGGCTTCATTGTTTGTGTTGTATCTGATGCGTTTACCCTTTTTTCTGTCCTCTTTTTTCCGGTTTTAATTCTTTTTTCTGCTCGTGTTTAGGTTTTTGTGTATCTTGTGTGTGAGTCCACCTTCCAAATTCACATGTATTTAAAATAAAGCCTCAGGTTCCAAGATTAGATTTCTGATTTCAAATTCCGATTTCCCCGATTACAATTTTTATTTATATCTACTAATTCTTAGATTCCCGTTTCGTCAATTCCTAATACTTAATTACTTAATTCCAGTTTCCAGATTTTCCAGTTCCAAGAATCGGAGGATCGGTTCTCTCGTTTATCCCTTTTGGTTTTACTAATGGGCGGTGGTGGTGGATAATTATCGTATTCGGCTTTTACCTCTCCTTCGCTTTATTTAAGTCGTTCTGCTTATTCTCCTTCTCGTTTCAAGCTCTCTCTTCTCTCTCGTCTCTGCTCTCTACTCTCTCTCTCCTCCCTCTCTCTCTCTCTCTCTCTCTCTCTCTCTCTCCTCTCTCCTCTCCTCTCTCTCTCCTCCTCTCTCTCTCTCTCTTCTCTCTCTCTTCTCTCTCCTCTCTCTCTCTCTCTCTCTCTCTCTCTCTCTCTTCTCTCTCTCTCTTCTCTCTCTCTCTCTCTCTCTCTCTCTCTCTCTCTCATCTCTCTCTCCCTCTCTCTCTCTCTCTCTCTTCTCTCTCTTCTCCTCTCTCTCTCTCCTCTCTCTCTCTCTCTCTCTCTCCTCTCTCTCTCTCTCTCTCTCTCTCCTCTCTTCTCTCTCTCTCTCTCTCTCTCTCTCTCTTCTCTCTCCTCTCTCTCTCTCTCTCTCTCATCTCTCTCTCTCTTTCCTTTAGTTTCTAGTTCCAATTTATAGATCCAGTTTCTGAGTTTTCCAGATTTCAGTTTCGAGATTCCAGTCCAAGATTCCCAGTCCAGATTCCAGTTTCCAAATTCCAGATTCCAGTTTCCAGATTCCAGTTTCCAGATTCCAGATTCCAGTTTCCAGATACCAGTTTCTAGATTCCAGCTCCCAGATTCCATATTCCAGTTTTCAGATTCCAGTTTCCAATTTCCAGATCCCATTTTCCAGATTCCAGTTTTCAGATTCCAAATTTCAGATACCAGTTTACAGATTCCAGTTTCCAAATTCCAGATTCCAGTTTCCAGATTCCAGTTTCCAGATTCCAGATTCCAGTTTCCAGATACCAGTTTCTAGATTCCAGCTCCCAGATTCCATATTCCAGTTTTCAGATTCCAGTTTCCAATTTCCAGATCCCATTTTCCAGATTCCAGTTTTCAGATTCCAAATTTCAGATACCAGTTTACAGATTCCAGTTTCCAAATTCCAGATTCCAGTTTCCAGATTCCAGTTTCCAGATTCCAGATTCCAGTTTCCAGATACCAGTTTCTAGATTCCAGCTCCCAGATTCCATATTCCAGTTTTCAGATTCCAGTTTCCAATTTCCAGATCCCATTTTCCAGATTCCAGTTTTCAGATTCCAAATTTCAGATACCAGTTTACAGATTCCAGTTTCCAAATTCCAGATTCCAGTTTCCAGATTCCAGTTTCCAGATTCCAGTTTCCAGATACCAGTTTCTAGATTCCAGCTCCCAGATTCCATTTTCCAGATTCCATTTTCCAGATTCCAGTTTCCAGATTCCAGTTTCCAGATTCCAGTTTCCAGATTCCAGTTTCCAGATTCCAGTGTCCAGATTCCAGTTTCCAGATCCAAGTTCCAGATTTCAGTCTCCACATTCCATTTTCCAGATTCCAGTTTCCAGATTCCAATTTCCAGATCCTATTTTCCAGGTTCCAGTTTCCAGATTCCAGTTTCCAGATACCAGTTTCCAGATTCCAGTTTTCAGATTCCAGTTTCCAAAGTTCAGATTCCAGAGACCAGAGTCAAGATTCCATATTTCTGATTCCTGATTCCAGATTCCAGATGTCAGATTCCCGATTCCAGATTTCATATTTCAAATTTCAGCTTCCATATTTCAGTTCCCAGATTCCGGTTTATAGATTTGAGTTAACAGATTCAGACCTCTTAACACCATTTGTCAGATGATTCCATCTTCCAGATTACCATTTCCAGATTCCAGATCCGAGTCGTCAGATTCCAATTTCGAGATTCTAGTATCTAGTTTCCAGATATCAGTTTTCAGATTTATTTTTCCAGATTTCCGTTTCCAGATTTCAGTTACCAGATTTTAGTGTCCAGATTTTAGTTTCCAGATTCAAGTTTCCAGATTCAAGTTTCCAGATTCAAGTTTCCAGATTTCAGTTTCCTAAGCCCAGTTTCCAGATTCCAGTTTCCAGATTCCATCTTCCAGATTACCGTTTCCAGATCCCAGATCTCAGTTATCAGAGTCCAATTTCGAGATTCTAGTTTCCTGATTCCAGATATCAGTTTCCCCAGTTAAGCTTCCAGATTTAAGTTTCCAGATTTCAGTTTCCAGATTTTAGTTTTCAGATTCCAGTTTCCAGATTCAAGTTTCCAGATTCAAGTGTCCAGATTCAAGTTTCCAGATTTTTTGTTTCCAAAGCCCAGTTTCCAAATTCCACTTTCCAGATTCCAGTTTCCAGTTTCCATCTTCCAGATTACCGTTTCCAGATTCCAGATCCCAGTTGTCAGATTTTGAGATTCTAGTTTCCAGTTTCCAGATATAAGTTTCCAGATTTCAGTTTCCAGTTCACAGATCTCAGTTTCCAAATTTCAGTGTTCAGAGTCCAGTCCCCAGATTCTAGTTTCCAGATTTCAGATCCCAGTCTCCAGATTCCAATTTCGTGGTTCTAGTTTCCAGTTCATAGATTGCAGTCTTCAGCTGACAGGCTACAGTTCCTATACTTCAGTTTACAAATTTCAGCTCCCATATTCCAGTTTTCAGTTCAGCTTCCAGATTCCCAATTCAGATTACAGTTTCTAAATTCTTATCTTCAAATTCAAGTTTCCAGATTCCACTTTATAGACACCAGTTCTAGTTTTTATATTTCAGTGTTCAGACTTCAGTTCCCAGATTCCGTTTGCTAGATTCTAGTTTCCAGGTTTCAGTTACAGTGTCCAGAGCCCAGTTTTCGGATTCTAGTTTCGGATTTAGGTTTCCAGATTTCAGTCCCGGATTGAAGTTTCTAGATTCGAGGTTTTAGTTTCCAGGTTTCAGGTGTTTGTTTCTAGAGTCAAGTTTCCAGATCTGAGCTTCCAGGTTACCGTGTCCATCCATACTGTAGTTTGCAAATTTGAGCTCCCAAATTCCAGTTTTTAGATTTCAGTTTCCAAATTTCCGTTTCCAAATACTTGACAGATTCCAGTTGCAGTGTCTAGAACTTTCGAATTCCAGTTCCGGTTTTAAGTTTCCATATTCCCGTTTCCAGTTTCCAGATTCCACTTTCCAAAACCAGTTTACAGATTGGAAACCAGTTTTCAGACTCCAGTTTTCAGATTCCAGTTTCCAGATTCTAGGTTCTAGATTCCAGATTCCAGATCCCAAATTCTAAATTCCAGTTTCCCTACTCCTGTTTCCAGCCGCCATTTACAGACCTCTTTGAGTTCGACCAGTTTGGCTTCGAAATCTTCTACAGCTGCTTTTGCCTTTCCGATTCTTGTTTTCTTTTTCTGAAATTTTCGCGTTCTTCGTACACCTTTTGTACTTCTGCGGTTTCTTCGATCCCTTCAACTTTTCGGCTTCTCAAAGTTTCAAAGCTTCTCCTTAGGTTTTTTTTTACCTTTCTCCTCTACTTTCCGGTTCAGGTTCTTTTCGGCTTTCTCTATTATAAGACAACTTGTTCGATTTTCTCGGAAAAATGGAATTGCTTGAACTTGTCAGTTTGTCTGGTTTCTTAAATTCTTCGCCTTTTCGCTTTCTTCTCTCTCTTCGAGTCACTCAGTTTTCTAGGCATCTTCGAATTAATCAGATGCTTCACGTCCCTTAAGTTCATCGCGTTTTAGAATTCTTATATTCTTCGGATCAACCGAATTCAACATCTACGGATTTCTAGATGTTTAGGTACATTCCGAACCTCCAGCTTTGTTGGAATTTACCAGATGCTCGGAACCCTTCGGCTCCATTGGATCTTCCAGATTTCCTGATTCTCCAATCTCTTGGGATATTTCTATCTGTATCTACCTCCAATATCATCTGCATCCTAGGTTTCGTCAACTTTTTCGACCTCTTCAATCAACTTTTGTCATCTGAGGTTTCCAAGGTTCCACAATGGTTGCAGTGAAATTCGAGTTGGCGTTTTGGAAAATTCACTCTCCAAAGGCATCGTGATCTTTCCATTCGAAATTATCGTGTCCGAATTCGTAGTTCAAGCAGAAATTCTTTGAACTACGCAGGTTATATTTCATGGAAATGTACGAGGGCAATCCAATATTCAGGGTTGGAAAACAAAATTAAACAATATGGTCTATTTTAAATAACAGTTTTTATTTTAAAAAAGCGTTTCTTAAAATTAAGATCAATTGGTAAATGGGAGCTTATTATGCTCTGATGAATGGACACCACCAGCAATCCGCAGATGGAGAAGAACGGTATTGGCCATTCAAAAAGGCACTAATTTCCGCTTCCACGGAGGCGTGCATCTCTGGGTCGTTGACGATAACGTTCAACGCATTGTTGGCCTTGTTGCTGATTTCTTGACTGTACACTTCGTTGTGGTTGACACCGGTGATTGCGAACTGTGCGTTTTCAATGGAAGGCTTGAAGACGACTGGTTCGAACAACATGGAGGTCATGTTGAAACCGATTTGCATCATCAACTGAACGTTTTTGATGTCGAAACTGAAAGATCATTGTTTTAGGGGATGAAAAATGGAAAAGCCGTTTGGCTTACCTCAAGCTTCCGTTTCCGTAAATCAAAGGCAAGGTGGTATCCCAAAGTTCGACAGCTCCAAAGGTTCTGGGAAGGCTCATGTTGACATTGAAGGTTGAGAGAGGATAGCTCAAGTTGTATGAGATGCTGTGCGAGATGTTGGAGAAGCCCTCAGCGTGTACGTTCTTTACTTTGAAGTAGATTCTGAAATGAATGCTATGTAAAGACGATTCATGAGTCACAGCCTGTGACTTACCCAATGATGTCGAAGAAGGTTTCCTCCTTGATGTTGATCGGATCGATTTCCTTGAGGAGCTCAACGTAGGCGTCGACCATTTCATTGAGCAGGATGGAATCAATTTCCACACGTCCATTTTTGGACGGTGCGGCGGAGCAGAAAGCAATGAAGCAGAAGAAGACTGCGAGGAACTTCATGGTGTCAACTCTAAATTCACGAACGTAAAGTAGAGAGTAAGAAATGATTGCGCCTTATATACCCGTAGAAAATCTCTAAGGGGGCACCTGAGATTAAAGTAAAGGCACTTACTGGTTATCTTTGTACCTACCTTGAAAAGTAAATTTCTAAGTCTCGTTAGATACAGCTCACGATTTTTGCACTGAGTAAACCAAATGGTTCAGACTTAGACTTTCTGAAGACCCTGGATTTCAAGGGCCAAATCAGTTTCTTCACTTGCATTGATCGGTGTTTTCGTCTTTTTCGAACTCTTCGAATTCATAGCATCTTCCGAACGCTCTGGCATATGGGACCTACTCGGTCCGTCAACTTTTTAGACTTACTTCGCCCTTTTCGACTTCTTCATCTTTTTGAAGTCTTCATCTTTCTCTACCGCTTCGGGTTATTCGGAACTGTCGATCCATAGATTCGAGCCTATCCTTCAATTTCCTTTTCCAGTAGCTGTATTAGTTTCAACTCCCCACAATGGAAGTGGAATCGAAACTGAGGAAAACAGGAATTTGGAGAACCTGGATCTCGAGACTGGAATTTGGAAATTGGTGGTAAATGAAATCTCAAAACTGTAATCGGAGACCTGGAGACTAGAACTACGCACCTATTATCATGAAATTGTAATACCTGAAGTGGAATCCGGAAACTTGAAATATGGAAACATCCATATTCCAATCACCACACACTAGTCTCCGGATTTGAGTCCCGGGGTTCCAGTTTACAAATTCCAGATTTGGGTTTCCAGGCTCTAGATTTGTTTCAAGACCTCAGTTTCCAAATTTTAAGTTTCGGATTGCACTTCCAGTTTCAGTTTCAGGTTTCCAATTTCAGGTTTCCAGTTTCAGGTTTCCAGTTTCAGGTTTCCAGTTTCAGGTTTCCAGTTTCAGGTTTCCAGTTTTTAGTTCCCGGTTTCTAGTTTCAAGTTTTCAGTTTCAGGTTTGCAGTTTCAGGTTTCCTGTTTCAGGTTTTCAGTTTTTAGTTACCAGTTTCTAGTTTCAAGTCTCCAGTTTCTATTTTCTCTAGCCTCCAGTTGTTCAGCTACCACGTTCCACCTTCATACTTCAGGTTTCATATTCCACAATACAAAATCCGGGTTACAGCTTTCAGTTTTTTTCAGTTTCAAGATTCCATTTCTGAGACTACACTTCCCAGATTCAATTTTTCACATTTCAGTTTCCATATTTCCCACACTCTAGTTCCTGATGGGTTTCAGTTTACCGATTCCAGATTGTAGATTGCAGTTTCAAAACTCCAGGTTCCAAATTTTAGGTTTCGGAATACACTTCCAGTTTCCGATTTCCAGTTTCCGGTTTCCGGTGTCCAGTTTCCAATTTTCAGTTTTCAGTGTCCTGTTTCCACTTTCCAGTTTCAAGTTTCTAGTTCCTCGAGCATCCAGCTGTTCAAAGTTACAAAACCCGGTTTACAGCTTCAGTTTTTCAATTTTTCCCAGTTTCAAGATTCTTATTTCTGGTACTCTACTTTCCAGATCCAATTCATCACATTTCAGTTTTCATATTCCAGTCTCTCTACCCCAGGAGTTGAGTCTCTAATGGTTTCCAGTTTACAAATTCCACATTTGGGTTCCCAGGCTGTAGATTGCAGTTTCCAGACCTCATCTTCCCAAATTATCAAATTATAGGTTTCGAAATACACTTCCAGTTTTTATATTCGTGTTTCTAGTTTCTAGTTTTCAGTTTTCAGTTTTCAGTTTTCAGTTTTCAGTTTTCAGTTTTCAGTTTTCAGTTTTCAGTTTTCAGTTTTCAGTTTTCAGTTTTCAGTTTTCAGTTTTCTGTTTTCAGTTTCAGTTTTTTCAGTTTTCAGTTTTCAGTTTTCAGTTTTCAGTTTTCAGTTTTCAGTTTTCAGTTTTCAGTTTTCAGTTTTCAGTTTTCAGTTTTCAGTTTTCAGTTTTCAGTTTTCAGTTTTCAGTTTCAGGTTTCAGCTTTCAGCTTTTTTTCAGTTTTCAGTTTTCAGTTTTCAGTTTTCAGTTTTCAGTTTTCAGTTTTCAGTTTTCAGTTTTCAGTTTTCAGTTTTCAGTTTTCAGTTTTCAGTTTTCAGATTTCAGGTTTCAGCTTTCAGCTTTCAGCTTTCAGCTTTCAGTTTTCAGTTATTTCACTATTTGCTACATTTCAGTTTTCATATTCCATTCCTCGACTTCTGTTTCCAAATCCCAGATTCCAGGTTCCAGTTTCCAGTTTACACGTTCCATCCAGTCTCCGGTTTCCAATTCCCACATTTTAGTTTACAGCTTTCAGTAGACTCCAGTAGTTCATCTCTTACCATCTCTTCCAAATTCAAGATCCAATTTCTGTCTTCCAATTTCCTGTTCTGAGATTCCAGTTTCCGTGCCTACCTACTACATTAAAGTTCAATGATTATAGATTCCAGTATCCACACTCCAGTCCTCGGGTTTGAGTCGCTGGGCTCCAGTATACAGCTCCCAGATTTGGGTTTCCAAGCAGACTCCAGTTTCATAGTATAGTTTCTGGTTTCTTGTTTTTGGTTTCTGGCTTTTGGTTTTTGGATCCTGTTTCCTGGTTTTTGGTTTCGGGTTCCTGGTTCCTAGTTTCTGGTTCTTAGTTTCTGGTTTCTAGTTTTTTGTTTGTAGTTTCTTGTTTTTAGATTCTGGTTTCTGGTTTTGGGTTCTTGGTTCGTGATTCCTGTTTCCTGGTTTCTGGTTTCGGGTTTTCGGTTCCTAGTTCCTGGTTCCTGGATTCTGGTTCCTGTTTTCTGGTTTCTGGTTCTTGCATTCTGGTTGCTGGTTCTTGGGTCACAGTTCCTGGTTTCTAGTTTTTTTGGCTTGTGGGTTCTGGTTCTTGGTTTCTGGTTTTCTGGTTTGTGTTTTCGCTTACTGCGTTCTAGTTTCTGGTTGCTGGTTGCTGTTTCTGGTTTCTGATTGCTTTATTTTGGATTCTGGTTTCATTGTTCATATTCCATGTGTTCAGACTTCACAGTCCAGATTCTAGTTTCGAGATTTCAGTTTCCAGATTCCAGTTTCCAGATTCCAGTTTCCAGTTTCCACATTCCAGTTTCCAGATTCCAGTTTCCAGAGTCCAATTTCCAGATTCCAGCTTCCAGTTTCCAGATTCCGGTTTCCAGATTCTAGTTTCCAGATTCCAGATTCCGTTTTCAGGTAACGGTTTCCACATTTCGGTTTCGATCCCGGTTTTCAGATTCCAGTTTCCATATACCAGTTTCCAGATTCCCATTTCCAGATTTCGTTTTCCAGATCCCGGTTTCCTGATTCCGGTTTCCAGATTCCCGTTTCCAGATTCCACATTCTAGTTTCCAGATTCCAGTTTCCAGATTCCAGTTTCCAGATTCCAGTTTCCAGATTCCAATTTTCAGATACCGATTTCCATATTTCGGTTTCGATCCCTGTTTTCAGGTTCCAGTTTCCAGATTTCGGTTTCCAGATCCCGGTTTCCAGATCCCGGTTTCCAGATTCCAGTTTCCAGATTCCGTTGTCCAGATTCCGTTTTCCAGATTCCGGTTTCCATATTCCGGTTTCCAGATTCCAGTTTCCAGATTCCAGTGTTCAGATTTCATTTTCCAGATTCTGGTTTCCACATTCCGGTTTCCAAATCCCGGTTTCCAGATTCCGCTTTCGAGTTTCGAGTTTTGGGTTTTGAGTTTCTTGCTTCTAGCTTCTACCTTCTAACCTCTCGCTTTTCCAATTTCCACTTTCCGGTTTCCTACATCAAGTTTCTAGTATCCAGTGTCAAGATTCCAGTGTCAAGATTCCAGTGTATAGATTTTAGTGATAGGATTGTCATATTCCAAGTTTCCACATTTCAGTTTTTCGATTCTAGTTTTCATGTTCCAGTTTCCAAATTTTAATTTCCAGATTCTTCTAAATTTCAGTTTTCATTTCCCATTCCTCGATTTCAGCTTCCAGCTTCCAGTTATCCAGTTATCAGATTCTATCCAGACTTCGACTCTCCATTTCCAAATGTTGGTTTACAGCATCCAGTAGACTCTGTAAGTATTTCAGTTCCAAGTTTCCGATCCTATCTACTACAGAAATCGAAATCTAGAAACTGAAATAGACTTCCGGGTTTCTGGTTTCCGGGTCCCAGTTTCCCGGTTCATGGTTCCTGGTTTCTGATTTCTGGTCTCTGGTTTCTGGTATTTGGTTTCCGGTTTCTCGTTCGTGGTGTCTGGTTTCTAGTTTCTGAGTTCTGGTTCCTGGTGTCTCGTTTCCTATTTCTGGTTTTTGGTTCGTGGTTCCTGTTCCCTGGTTTCTGGTTTCAGGTTCCTGGATCATGGTTCCTATGTTCTGGTTCTCTCGATCTCTGTTTTGAGATTCCAGCTTCCAGTTTGCAGATATTATCCAGTCTACGGGTTTCCAATTTCCAAATGTTAGTTTACAGCATCCAGTAGACTCTAGTAGTTCAGCTTTCACGCTCCAATTTCAAACTCCAGCTTCCACACTACAAGATCCTGTATACAGATTTCTGTTTACATTTTCCAGATTCAAGATTCCAATTCCTGTAAGTATTCCAGTTTCAAGTTTCCGATCCTATCTACTACATTATAGTTTCAATATGCTAGTTTCTAGACACTAGTCCCCGTATTTGAGTCCCTGGGTTACAGTATACAGTTTTCAGATTTTGGTTTCCATACTACAGATTGCAATTACAAGACCTCAGTTCCCAAATCTAAGGTTTCAGATTACATTTCTAATTTTCATATTACAGTTTTTAGTTTCTGGTTCCGGGTTTCTGGTTTCCAGGTTCCAGCTTCCCGGTACATGGTTTTTGGTTTCTGGTTCCGCGTTCCTAGTTCCTGGTTTCTGGTCAGGTTTCTGGATTCTGGCTTCTGGCTTCTGCTTTCTGATCTCTGGTTCCTGGTTTTTGGTTTCTGGTTTCGGGTTTTTGGTTCGTGGTTCCTGGTTCCTAATTTATGGTTTCGGGTTTTTGGTTCCTACTTTCTGATTCCTGTTTTCTGGTTTCTGGTTCTTGGGTTCTGGTTCCTGGTTCTTGGGTCCCGGTTCCTGGCTTCCAGTTTTTTGGATTGTAGGTTTTGGTTCTTTGTTTCTGGTTTTCTGGTTTGTTTCCGCTTTCTGCTTTCTGCGTTCTGGTTGCTGGTTCTCGTTTCTGGTTTCAGTGTTCATATTCCATGTGTTCAGGCTCCACTGTCCAGATTCTATGTTCTGGCTTCTGGTTTCTGGTTCCTGGTTCCTGGTTTCTGGTTGCTGGTTTCGGGTTACTGGTTTTTGGATTTTGGTTACTGGTTCCGGGTTTCTTGTTTCGGGTTTTTGGTTCATGGTGTCTGTTTCCTGGTTTCTGGTTTGTTTTTTTTGTTCCTGGTTCCTGGTTCCTGGTTTCGGGTTTTTGGTCCGTGGTTCCTGTTCCCTGGTTTCTGGCTTGTGTTTCCGGTTTCCGGTTTCTGATTCCGGCTTCCTGGATTCTGGTTCCTGGATTCTGGTTCCTGTTTTCTGGTTCCTGGTTCCTAGTTGTTTGGCTTGTGGGTTCCGGTTCTTGGATTCTGGTTTTCTGGTTTGTTTCCGCGTTCTGCTTTCTGCGTTCGGGTTGCTGGGTTTCTGGTTCTGGTTTCTTGTTCATATTCCATGTATTCAGACTCCAGTGTCCAGATTCTAGTTTCCAGATTTACATGTTCCCGGTTACAAATTCTAAATTTCAGATTCTCCTAGGTTACAATTTGCATACTCCATTTCCTCTACAGTTTTAATTTTTTTCGACTTTGATCTACTTCATTCACTTCTTCAGTCGGCCTGTTTTTACGAATTCTTCTGATTTTTTCATACTTTCCGAACTACCTTGATTTGGGTATTAGGAACATGTGACGACCTGGATTTCTTCGATCTATCGTCTGTCTCTTCGGTTTCTTTAATTCTGGCCACAAGGACTATTTTACTCCTTTGGATTGGATTCTTGACCGTTTAGGGTTTTTGGATTCTTCGAGTTGTCCAAATCATTCCCCCTCTTAGGCGTCTTAGCCTTTTTTTTTAATCTCAGACTACTTTGGTTCTTGAGATTCCCAGCATTCGTCACATACTTTGGATTCTTCGAATTATCCAAGCTCTCAACTAACGCTTTCGGGCGTTTACGTTTTTTTCAACCTTCACTTCGTGCGTTTGATTTACTCGAATTTCTTGGCTTTTACGGTTTCTCCCACCCTCTCAATTTGCTGGGTTTCTTCGGCATGTTACTTTTTGATTCATAGAGCCTTTTGACTGTCTTGGTTTCCTCGCATCAGTTAATTGTTGTGTGTTCCTGAGGCTTTCTCGATCTTTTCGATTAATTGTTTTCATTTTTAGTTTCTCAAAATTTCCAAGCTTCATTCGGTGTCTTAAGTCATTCCTGGATCCTGAGGTCTTTTTTTCGGATTTTGACGGTGTTTCAAAACCTTCTTCTTGCATTCTTCTTTGGCTTCCTACTACCACGAACACCAAATAGAGCTAAAACTCATAGTTACGGATTACGTTGTTAGGGAACGTTGATAAAACATGGAATTCCAAAAATATCTTGACTTTATCTCCACACGGAATCCACTAATGCACCTCAAGCACTATGATCAATGTTCAAATCTGTTCAAAGCACCTGAAATCCATAAATAGAAGAGAGCATCTCTTAATATTAATAAAAACTATTGTTGAGGTAAAGATCGAGTCTATGCTGGAGGAATTATTTTCCAAACAACCCGTGGTTTGGAAAAGCAAAGGCTCATCCGACTGTATCCACGTTTTGCATATCTTGCTGATTATGGTTATCACGCACTCACCTCAGCCATTAAAATTTCGTATCCAACCAGAAATTGTTACTGTCCCAAGTTCATCTGGCGATATGCGAAGTTAATCTCAAGTAGCCAACTGAAGGGCCAGCTGCTTTGCTATAAAAAGCGCAAACTTTTGCTTGTATATCACTTTACGTTCGTGAATTCGACAAGTATTGCATCATGAAGTTCCTCGCAGTTTTCTTCTGCTTCATTGCTTTCGGCTCCGCCACACCGTCCAAAAATGAACGTGTGGAAATTGATTCCATCCTGCTCAATGAAATGGTCGACGCCTACGTTGGGCTCCTCAAGGAAATCGATCCGATCAACATCAAGGAGGAAACCTTCTTCGACATCATTGGGTAAGTTTCCGGCTGTGGCTCATGAATCGTCTTTACATAGCCTTCATTTCAGAATCTACTTCAAAGTAAAGAACGTACACGCTGAGGGCTTCTCCAACATCTCGCACAGCATCTCATACAACTTGAGCTATCCTCTCTCAACCTTCAACGTCAACATGAGCCTTCCCAGAACCTTTGGAGCTGTCGAACTTTGGGATTCCACTTTACCTTTGATTTACGGAAACGGAAGCTTGAGGTAAGCCAAACGGCATTTTCATTTTTCATCCCCTAAACCAATGATCTTTTAGTTTCGACATCAAAAACGTTCAGTTCATGATGCAAATCGGTTTCAACATGACCTCCATGCTGTTCGAACCAGTCGTCTTCAAGCCTTCCATTGAAAACGCACAGTTCGCAATCACCGGTGTCAACCACAACGAAGTGTACAGTCAAGAAATCAGCAACAAGGTCAACAATGCGTTGAACGTTATCGTCAATGACCCAGAGATGCACGCTTCTGTTGCAGCGGACATTAGTGCCTTTTTGAATGGCAAAGCATTTTAATTTTAAGAAGACCTTCTTAAAATAAAACGATAATTAAACTTTTAACTGTTGCTCTCTCGCCTAACCCCAAGTATTGTGAAATATTCTACTGTACTGTTAGTTACTGCTTGAAGTGCTAAAAATTCGGACACGACATTTTCGAATGGCAAGACATTTTCCTGGCCATAGCCAACATCACTTTGGCAAAAAAAACACGAGCCTACAGAGTCACCGTTGCATCCAAGATGGGTGTAGATGACGGAAATGTCCACACCTGAAGCCTTTAGCCACCAGTTTTAATGTTTTAAAGATTCAGTTGTCGAATTCGGGTTCCCGCCACCGACTTTTGAGTTTTTGGGAACCGATTCCGGTTCCAATTTCTATTTTTCGGTTTCCGGTCATCAACCTTCTTGTAATGTAACATCCACTAGTTCCAGTTGTTTGCAGTTTACTTGTTATCAATGTCCAATATTCAATCCTCGCCGGTTTCTCGTTTCTTGTTTCCAATTTAGATTCCCTCAGTTTTTTTTCTCTGAGTTTCTGTATTTTAATTTCCAGCATCCGGCACCCAGTTTATGGTTTTTATAGATTCCACTTCCCGTTTTAGATATTCAGATCTCCATTTTAAGTTTCTTTGTTTTCCTTCTCCGGTTCCAGTACCTACTGACTTCCCAGTTTCTAAACTGCACATTAAATCCCAAGTTACAGATTACAAATTCCTGTTTACAACGTTTTACCTTCAGTGTCATTGCTTTAGGAAGAACCCCCCATTTGACCATCCATAGCTTTAGTTCAGGAAAGAACCCACCCCATGACCTTCAACGGCAGTCGCTTCTAGTTGAGACAGAAACCCTGCAAAGATTACTCTAGTATCAGAACCGTTTTATCTTGAAGCCCTCAGTTCATGAAAGAACCACGATAACTTTTCCACATGTTCATGTACCGATAATCAATATCTCAGTGACCTTGCACCCCCCCCCCCCCCGAAATCGCAATAAGTAGAATTGCTTTAATTCGGGAAAGACGTCCCCGCCCCCATTTGGCCTTCAGTGTCCTTGCTTTGGGTTCAAGAAAGAACTCCCAGTTTGCAGATGTCCAGTTCATAGTTTCCAGATTTCAGATTCCACTTTCAACATTTCAGTTTCCAGAGTTTAGGTTATGGTTCCCAGATTCCAGTTTCCAGATTTTATATTTTCGATTACAGTTATCAGGTTCCACTTTCTCAAAATTAGTTTCCAAAATCCAAATCATAGTTTTCAGATCCCATTTTAAAAATTCCAGTTTCCAGACCCTTGTGCAAGATTCAAATTTGTTTCTGTTTTCCAGATTCCAGTTTTCAGACTCTATTTCTTGATCTTGATCCCAGTTTCCATAATTAACTTTCCGGATTCCACTTTCAGATTTAAACTATTACAGCAGTTTGATGGTACGAAATGCGAAATTTTAGTTTCTAGGTCCTCAATTCCAGTTTCTGGATTCCAGAATCCAGATTTTTGTTTACAAATTCAAATTTATCAATTCCGCTTTCTTGATTTCAATTCCAAATCCAGGTTTTCAGATTACAGTTTCTAGAATCAAGTTTCCAGATTCCGATTCCAGATCCCAAATTCCAGTTCCCATATTTTAGTGTCCAGATTTCGATTTCCAGATTCCAGATTCCGGTTTCCAGATTCCAGTTTCGAAATACTAGTTTTCAGGTTCTAGTTTTTCGATTCCAGGTCCCAAATTCCAGTTCCCATACTTTAGTTTCCAAATTCGGTATTCCAAATTCGGGTTTCTAGATTCTAGTTTCCAGATTCCAGTTTCTAGATTCCAGTTTCCAGATTTCAGTTTCCAGATTCCAGTGTCCAGATTCCAGTGTCCAGATTCCAGTGTCCAGATTCCAGATTTCTGTTTCCAGATTTTAATTTCCATATTCCAGCTTCTAAATTCCAGTGTCCAGTTTCCAGATTCCAGATTCCAGTTTCCAGATTCCAGTTTCTAAATTCCAGTGCCTAGATTCCAGTTTCCAGAATCCAGTTTCCAGTTTTCAGATTCCAGTGGCCAGATTCCGGGTTTCTGTTTATGGATTCCAGTCTTTAGATTTCAGTTTCAAGAATCCAGTTTCAGTGTCCCTATTCCAATTGTCTTTCGACCGCCAGGACTGTAGTTTCCTCCGGTTTCCAAATTCGGGTGCCAAATAGTTGATAATTCCCAAATTTTACACACAACGGTTTTCACATTCCAGATTTTAAGCCCAAATTTGTGAATTGGGGTTTCTAGATTCCAGTTTACAGATTCTAGATTCCAGTTTTCGGACTACAGATCCAAATTTCAATCCCCAAATTTTAATTTTGAAATTGCATTTGTCAATATCCAGATTCCAGTTTCTTATTCCCAAATTCTGGTTTCCAGATTCCTGCTTCCAGTTTTCAGTTTCCAGGTTCAAGGTTCCAGTTTCCAGATTCCAGTGTCAAGATTTCAGTATCCATTTTCCAGTTTCCAGATTACAATTTCCAGATTCCAATTTCTAGATTCCAGTTTCTAAATTCTAGTTTCCAGATTCCAGATTCCAGTTTCCAGATTCCAGTTCCAGTTTCCAGATTCCAGTTTCCAGATTCCAGTTTCCAGATTCCAGTTTCCAGATTCCAGTTTCCAGATTCCAGTTTCCAGATTCCAGTTTCCAGATTCCAGTTTCCAGATTCCAGTTTCCATATTCCAGATTCCAGTTTCCAGATTCCAGTTTCCAGATTCCAGTTTCCAGATTCCAGTTTCCAGATTCCAGTTTCCAGATTCCAGTTTCCAGATTCCAGTTTCCAGATTCCAGTTTCCAGATTCCAGATTCCAGTTTCCAGATTCCAGTTTCCAGATTCCAGTTTCCATATTCCAGTTTCAAGATTCCAGTTTCCAGTTTCCAGATTCCAGTTTCCAGATTCTAGTTTCCAGTTTCCAGATTCCAGATTCCAGTTTCCAGATTCCAGTTTCCAGATTCCAGTTTCCATATTCCAGTTTCCAGATTCCAGATTCCAGTTTCCAGATTCCAGATTTCAGTTTCCCGATTCCAGTTTTCACATTCCAGTTTCCAGATTCCTGTTTCCAGATTCCAGTTTCCAGATTCCAGATTCCAGATTCCAGTTTCCAGATTCCAGTTTCCAGATTCCAGTTTCCAGATTCCAGTTTCCAGATTCCAGTTTCCAGATTTCAGTTTCCCGGTTCCAGTTTCCAGATTCCAGTTTTCACATTCTAGTTTCCAGATTCCTGTTTCCAGTTTCAGGTTTCCAGATTCTAGTTTCCAGATTCAAGATTCCAGTTTCCAGTTTTCAGATTCCAGTTTCCAGTTTCTAGATTCCAGTTTCCAGATTCCAGTTTCCAGATTCCAGTTTCTAGATTCCAGCTTCCAGATTCCAGATTTCTGTTTCCCGATTCCAGTTTCCAGATTCCAGTTTCCACATTCCAGTTTCCAGATTCCTGTTTCTAGATTCCAGTTTCAGGTTTCCAGATTCTAGTTTCCAGATTCAAGATTCCAGTTTCCAGATTCCAGTTTTCAGATTCCAATTTCCAGAATCCAGTTCCAAAGATCACAGCTCCTAAACCCTATTTCACACTTTCTTCTCCACCACACACCACACCCAATCCCCGTCTACAAGTTTAAAATTCCGATTGCCAGATTCTAGTCTTCAGTTCCAGGTTTACGTATTCTACATCCCGCATTTCGATCTCAGGACGTTGCAAATTCCATTTTCCGGGTTTCTGTTTATGGATTCCAGTCTTCAACTTCCAGTTTCCAGAATCCAGTTTCAGTTTTCTTACTCCAGTAGTCTTCAGACTGCAATTTTTACACACCAGTTTTCAGATTCGGTGGCCAAATAGTAGTTCCCAAATGTTAGTTTCCAAATGCCCTATACCAGATTTCAGATTCAAATTTTGAGGTTTCCATTACCATATCACGGTTTTCAGGTTCCAGCCTTGGCTCTCAGATTATGGTTTCCATGTTTCACTTCCCAGATTTTTTATTTCAGTTTACAGGTTCTTGATTCCAGTTCTCGGACTTCAGATTCCAAATTCCAGATACGAGACCTCACTTTAGACAGATATTCCAGTTTCAGATTCCGGTTTGGTTTTCATGTTCCACTTCCCCGATTTTTTATTTCAGTTTACAGATTCTAGATTCCAGTTTTCGGACTACAGATTTCAAAAATGAATAAGGTTTAATTCCCCAAAATTTTTAGATCATTAGCTTTATTTTAAAAAGGCTAAAATGTGTCTCAAGAATCCAAAAGAATCTAAAATTATCAAAATTTCAAAGATTTTATTTAAGTATATAATCCAAAATTTGAAGACGTTAATTGCCAGAAATTTCAAAATTCCAATATCTCCAATATTTCTAGAATTTCAAAAGTTCCTAATTTTAAAATCATTAACGTCGTAAATTCCCATTTCATCTCAACATTTCAAAAGGCCTAAAATCTCAAATTCACAAAATGTTAAATACCCAAAATCTAAAATTACAAATATTAAAATTCTCAATATTTTAAAATCAAAAATTTTTAAAATTTAATAAACCTCACAATTTCAATCTCAATCTCAAACACAATCCCAATCTCAATCCCAATCCGAATCCCAATCCCAATCTCAATCTCAATCTCAATCAAATTGCTGGCGTTAGTTGCACAACGTCATGTGGACTCATTTTTAAGGAATTTCAAATATTGATATTACGAAGTATGCTAATATATTATGAACTTAGTACATATTCCAGTGTCTTCTGTTCGTGTAAAGTAAAACCTTCGTGTCGTATTGTAAGAGCTCATTATCGGTGTCCGAGAGGACACTGGTCTAATATAATGTAATAACGTTTGCGGTTAATCACACCGTAACTACATCTTTATAAAGGATCCAATAAGCTTGCCAGTCATGCATATTAGTAACAAAGGGGGCTGATACGAGATAGGCCATATTGATTAACGCCCGCGGTGCCATCAAAACAGTAAACGGAGGGTAATGCCAGTTTCAGTTACCCACTATTCTGATACACTCGAAATCAATTTGACGTTCTCCACTCGTAAAACAGATTTAGGAAATTTGTT